CAGTTTTGGCTGAGAAATGGAATTTTTAGTGGATAATCTCCCCAACGACCCCAATTTTTCGAAGAAAATTATAATTTCGAATTTTGACCTGAAACTTTGTCCAAAGTGAAGTCTCACTCAGACTAGCTCTTGTAGAAAATTTCAGAATTTTTGGATATTGTATTCCGGAGATATGAATTTTTCAAATTTCGCACAATATCGATGGATAAGCGCCTGAAATTTGAAAAATGCATATCTCAGAAAGACTATATTCAAAAACTCTGAAGCTTTCTACAAAAGCTAGTCTGAATGAGACCTCGCTTTGGCCAAAGCTTCAGGTCAAAATTAATCATTTCGGTAAATTTCCTTCGAAAGTGCGTTTTTACAAAATCGAAAATGTGTACATTTCGATATTGAAGTCAAAAGTGATAGTTGAAAGTGGTATCTGTTAACGGTTTTCTTATGAAACAAAACTTTAAAGTATCCTCTATTACCAAGAAAAAAAAGACCTCATTTGATGAAAGAGCAATGGAGATACTCAATTTTTTTATCCGTCGGGAGTTTTGGGACACCCTGTATAATAGAAGAATTCTCGAAAGGAATTTCTAAACACAAGATTTGTTATGAAGTATATCTTATGTCTTGAATCTCACGGTCTTTCTCAAAAATCAACGTTATATTGTAATTCTTCATTAACAAAATCTTCGCGGGTATCCTCAAGAAGCGTGCCAAATCCTATACAGATCTTTCCCAAAACACGTCTATAGTGAAGCTTTCAGATCAGCATCTAGTAGTTCGTTGGCGACCCTCCGGACCACCACTCACGGCTAACCGCTCACTTGCTTAAGTTTACTTCTCCAAAGGATCATACACTTTTATTTACACGTAACCGATATATTTTTGTCTTACTTCAAAAACATCTTGAATTTATAACAGAAGACTTGTGAAAGGATAATTGAAAACGCCGGAGCTACTCTGCAACAATATATGGATAGAGGATTGTGTCTCAACACCTATGAATTATGACGGTGGAGAATCAACTGATTATCTACAGCAAGCAAACCCATTTCACTTTGTATGATTCTCCCTTCAGTCGAAAGGATAAATTCCTTCAGTCAGAGGAAAAATCATTTTTTTCGTAAACAAGCTTTTCTCTGCTGAAAAAAACTGCAAATTTTGAAAAACCGATCGCAGATTTGGATTCCTCGACCCCGATTCCCTTTGGACAAACTTAACGAACTGCACTAATATGTGGAGACACGTGACTAGACACGTGCATGCAAGCATAGAAGCACACCCAAACTCATTTTATTTCGTAAGATTCTTCCTTCAGTCGAGGAAGTATATCAAGAACCTTATCTATAGTTACCATTGGGAAACACGTGGTTAAGTAGGATTCGACATAGAATCCAGAGATATCATATCCAGTTGTCAAGCATTGAACAGTGTAAAATTCGTTGAACTTAAAACCTCTTTTGTTTTGGCGAAACACAATCTAAAAGGAGTCTTGAAGTATATAAGGTAGAAATTTTGGATCCACTCTAACTCGATCGTCCTCCCCCTCCAGAAACTGTGACAGGCACTATGACAGCCCATCGAAGTAGTAATCCATTACAGACTGTGATACATGCTGGTCACAGACCGTTGCAAAACATGACATAGGTTGTTGATATACGATCGCAAACTGTCTATCGATGACGGCTTGTAACAATATACTAATTATTTCTTTTTTGCATCTCTGAAGAATTCTGTAAAAGCAGGGTGAAGAAATGTGTCCACAATATGCATTAAAAAAAACGATCTCTCTGTGATCAACAGCAGCAGCTTTATCGTGTTTCGCATTTTAATCTCAGTGTTGGCGCTAATAGCTTTATTTATTACTCTTTTCTTTTTAGGTCCAATTCAGCCAACAACAGGTAATCGAAACTATGATAATCAACGTGATTTAGAATCTAAATTATTCCAATGGCAATGTCCACGATGTACATTTCTTAACGATGATTCATCTCGCACATGTGAAATGTGTTCATGTGAAAAAGGTTCTTAGTATTATCTGATTATTTCCATAGAAAATTCTTCGTTCATGTTCATTAACTTTTATCTCACATGTTGAAACTAAGTAGTAGAACGAACGAGTGTAAATCAAGGCTGAAAAACAAATAGCGAAACATTTTGTGAAAAACGATCGAAAAAGAATGTTGAAGTATATAGGATGAAACTGTGAACCGCCTCCTGCTGCCGTCACTCACCCTACCTCCACAATCTGCGACAGACATTTTAAGTAAAATTTAATTATTA